TGGAATCTTTTATTTTAGTCTTTAGTTTGCATCTAAAGATACTTGCTTGTAACTCTGAGCTATTTCTTAAATTATCTGACTTTTAGTTTGGAGAATCATCACCATAAGGATATTATACAGTATTTTAGGTATACTCTGTAGACTAACACTATCTCAGTTATGCACAGGGATAGAGAAATAACAGCCGTGAAGCTATATGGGAAAGTTCATTTAAATTGCACACAACTTTCCACTCTTGAAGATAAACATGCCTAATAATCTCCACCAGTCTCAGACAAATTCTACATTTTAGGTCACTCAGTAGTTCTCCAATATTTTTGACCAAAGATCATTTAGGGTTTTATTTTTTCAGATAGCTGAAAACTATATGTTTTTGTAGTTCTTGACCCACAAAACTATGTGCTCAAGGCTCACTGAATATGCATTCGGATGCAGTACGTGCTGCTGACTGAATTTAAAGAAAAAAGTATGTATAATAATAATAATTTGTGACACTGTTTGAGAGATAGAATGAGATCATGTATGTTAAGACCTGAGCACTAGCCTATCATACACATTGGTTTCTTCTAAAACTTCGTAACCTCAGACATGTCATCAAACCTGCATCTCCTGCAAAAAAGAAAATAATAATAATGTATTGAATGTCTTTCTGTACAGAGCTTTGGATCTGTGAGCTATTTATTTCCCATATGCCTTTCTAAATAGAGTGGCATATTGGGGAAAGGCTTGAAAACCTGGAGTTGAGCATGTAACCTGCAGGTCAGAGGCTTGATCCCTGAATGTGGGTACCTCAGCAGTTTATAGCACAAAATAATTAATTAGCTTCCAATCCTAGGCTAGAGGTCAGAAGGCCTAACTCTCTTTATTGCCAGGGGGACAAGTCTAATAAATTGGCTCTGCATATATTCAAGGCTGATTGCCACTAATTATCTTTTCTTGAACCAGTCCCATTAAGTGACATGAAAATTAGATCAAGATACTGAGGTATTTTAAATTTGTCTTTGCAAGTGCTAAATCTCCAGAGACTTCCATGTTGCTAAATCTAGTGGACCACGTTAAAGGCTTGGTCTTCTCCTGACTAACTACCATTTCCTTCTTGAAATATTTCTTTTCTTGGATTCCTCATTCCCACTTCTGTAGCTGGATCTCTTTGACTCCACTAATAACTGATATCTCTCAGGGTGCAATCTCGCCTTTCTGCTTTTCTCTGTTTTTATTACCACTGAAGGAGTTTTGATTTCTGTTTCTTCAACTTCCACATACATCTTTGTCAATGCCACCTAACTTAGATCTGACACCTAGACTATGCCTATGAAATCCTGTTTTGTTTCTCCAACTGTCCTATTTAATGTCTTTCTTCGATACCTCTAAGGCATAGCAATTTGAATGACTTCAAATATATACCTTTAATTTTCTCCAGCCCCTCCCTTGATATTAGAGAGTAGTGAAAATATCATGACACCCATATGCTCAAAAACACCCAGCAGTGGGCATAACTTACCTCCATCTCCAGTTCATCAGAAAATTCTGTCACTATTCTTTAAAACAAATCTCAAATAACTTCCCTTCTACATATCTCTATTGCCCCCATTCTCCTATAAGGCACCACAATCTCTCATGCACATTAATGTTGTAACAAAGGAACAGCACAGTCCATTCAACCTTCTGCCAATCCCTCCTCTGCATTAGAGCATTCATCTACCAGGATATGTTTTATCACTAGAAAACAGATAATATCTCCCCACACCTTTGCAAGATTTTCTTTGTTAGCACACTTAGACAAAAATCCAATTCTGCTAATGGCTACTGAAGCACTAACTGATTGTGTCATTTCACTATAAATTCCATGAGAGTAAGCATATGACTAGTTTGTTCTCCACTGAGAACTAGCATACCCAGACCTTGCTTGAGTGAGCAAACAGAGAAGTGAACAAGGACACGGAGAAAAAGTATGGACTGTGTGCCCAGTGCATTATTGTGATTATCCTCTGTTTGGAGCTGGAGCGATAGCACAGCAGGTAGGGCATTTGCCTTGCACGCGGCTCCCAACCGCACAGCAGAGCCTGGAAAGCTCCCCGTGGTGTATTCCATATGCCAAAAACAGTAACAAGTCTCACAATGAAGATGTTACTGGTGCCCACTGGAGCAAGTCAATGAACAATAGAAGGACGGTGCTACAGTGTTACATCCTCTGTTTGAGGTCTTAACTCATGTGGAATTCCCTATGAAATTTTGTTTACTCTTAACCATTGGAAATGTTACATGAAAATATTACATAACCTTTTGGGCATGTTAACTCCAAAATATATTTTTCTTTTTTTTATCAAAATGGTGCTTATTGTTAATTTGTTTGTTTACCACACTGGCCATGGTCAAGGGCTACTTCTGGTTCTGTGCTCAGGGCTCACTCTAGGCATTGCTCAGGAGACAATATGCAGTGCCAGGGAACTTTACGCTCAGCAAAAATCACTATAAAATCAAGACAAAATGAAAGCTGTTCTCAGACCAACAAAAAAATGGAGACTTTATAACCAAAATTTATTTTGAACTATAAGAAATGTCCAAGGGGTTTATTCAGACAGAATAAAAATTTTATCTGAACTGGTATGAAATTATTTGAAACTAGGCTTTGATAAGTTCATAACATATGTTATCAATTTTGTAATAATAACCAAAATAAACATAAACAAAGTAGAGTAGCTAAGAAATCAACTTGGAATTAGAAAATATATTTGATCTAAAAGATGACAAAAAATATAAAAACAAAGAACAGATGGGAATTGTGGAAAGCAAATATCAAAATGGTAGGCTCAAATCCAAGCATATCAATCATTAAAATTTTATATAGTTATAAATACTACAATTAAAATAAATTATTATTAGACTAGATAATACAGCAAGATTCATCTTTCTACTTTTCTACATGAAGCATACTTTTTAAAAATGAAGAGTCAGATTAGGCAAAATAAAATATTTGAAAAATTTGCCATGCAAGCACTAATCATAAGAGAGAATGTCTAGTTTTATTCACACTAGACTGAAGAATCGGGTGATTGCCAAGGATAATGAGAGGCTTTCATAGTGATAAAGGGTAAAATCATCAAGAAGACGTAACATTCCTAGTTGTTGGTGATTGATAGATAGCTATTTAATAATAGATTTCAAACTGATAATAAAACTGAAAGAAAGAAATTGACAAATCCAAATACAGTTGAAGATTGTAACATCCCAGCCTCCATTATAGAACAGAGATGAGAAAACTTGAGCAACATGAACAATCAATTTGACTGAATGACTTAGGTCTCCTCTCAAAATGGTAGAATTTTGAATACACATGGAATATTCACTAAGATTAATCGCGTGCTGTATCATAAGAAAAATCTCAAGAAATTAAAAGAACCTACATTTCCTTTTCAATTTTAAAATAAAATCTGCTTAAATATCATTTGTATAATTTGTATTATTGTATAACTTCATTTCTCAAAAAACTTTTTGATGAACAGAAGGATAAGCATGAACTCATAAAATAAATACATATAATTTAAAGTTAATTGTATCTCATCTTTTTTTTAAAGTTTAAAATCACTCACTGATCTAGAGGGTCCATGTAATTTGTTCTAAACTTTGTCAACACTCATCATAGCTAATGTCTAATGACAATAATAATCACCTATCACACTTGCAACACTGGATTCTAAGTTCAGGCATTGTTCTAGGTGTTTTGCTTGCATTTTATTCTTCTTACTTCCCTCCCTTTTTATAGGTCAAACAACTTGCCTTGGTTCATACACATACATATTAAATGCCAGTGCCAGAATCTGAACCCAGTAAAATGATTTCACCATGTCAATTGCCATTTTCAAAGCCAGGGTCAAATACACTGGCTTTAAACACAAAGACCTCGTGATTTCCTACTTCAGCACTTTGTAAAGTCTTTAATTGGTTCTCTTTGCCTTGACTTCAAATTTGCCTCTTCACTGGTCTGTCTTATTTGATAAGTTCATCAAACATCAAGACTCTTTGTTCATTTTCAAAAAGGATTACAATGATAAGCTTTTATAATTAAGAGCATCTCTGCAGAGATTTCTTTTAGCACAGTTCTCTTGCCTTTATCTTCTAATTATTAGAGATGAATTTTCTGATTTTTCAAAATTGTATTTGCTTTAACTACAAGTTGCAAATTAATTGCTTATAAAAATGCCTGTCCCCTTCTGAACTGTTACTTAAAAGCAATCTCTTATACTCTAGTATTTAAAGGCAATAATGATTCAAAATTGAATTATCCAACAAGAATTTGAATTAAATAACTACTTGAAACTTTAACTGGGGAAGAAGGATATCGGTTGGTGTGGGTAGTTACTGTTTTAAAACTATCCCAAAGACAAAATAAAGGGCTAAGTACAAAATACAAAACAACAAAATACTTAATGTTACAATATAAATAGCATGAAGACTGTTTGGATAAGTCAAGGAAAGATAATGAATAAAATAGCAATGTCCATGTAAAAATGCCACAGCTCTGCAGAAGGTAAACATTTCTGAAATTAAATGAGCCTCTATAGTCTCTCTCCCGATGATCTTATACACATGATCTAATTTTAATCCTCCCAAAAGACTGTGAGATGGCTATTCTGATTCACAAGCATATAAATAGAGGTTAACTATTCAACATGGTATCATTTATTTAGCTATATTTTATATCTAAGATCTTATTTCATGTTTAGTAACTCATAAAAACAGGCCAAATTACTACTTTCATTGAACAGATAGGAGAAGGAACTAAAAACGATCACTCCAGACTACACAGTTCTAAGAACCAGAGCTGGAATTTACACACAAGTCCCAACTGACTCTAAGTGTGAATTTCCACTAGCTTGAACTCCTCTACTTTAATAACAGCATGAAAAGTGGTCACTCATTCCAGAAATCAATGCTGATAGGGCCATGGTTGACCACCTGGTGAACACTGTGCAAATTTTGCAGACTTAGGATTGACTCACCGGTTTTCCTTTTCCTGTAAGCTGACCCCAGACTGACAAGTCATCAGAACAAAGATGAAGGAAATAACGGCAAACATCTCCTCCAGAAGTCACCCCGTATATCTTAGGAGGAATAAAACCATGGAGTAAAAGATGTCCACAGGCCACGACCTGAAAGATCTACCTACTATTTGAAATTAAGAGAACTCACTCAATTCTCAATCAAATGTGGTTAATGAGCTACTAAGCATTGATTAGTCAAACACTGTACATTGCCAGACACCAAAGGCCACTGTCCTTCAAACCTCCTGCAAAACACTATCCATATGGTTGAGGAAAAGAGGATGCTTCATCAATACCACCAGTGATACAGAATTTTATTTTCAGAGGGAGTCAATATCCATGCAGAGGAGACATTTCCAGAACATGTGGTCTTTTTAAGTGCCGCATGGAACTTCTGTTTCATAAGAATAAAACAAATACTAGTGCGTGAACTTGAAAAAGATGTGGGAAATGCTAACTTTTATAGGGAGGGTTTACAATGTGTCACCAAACATCTGTAGTCTGAGATGTGGGCAATTGAATACAATTTCCACTTTTCACCCAGATATTGTATGTCATTGGGACCCAGCAAATGTGTGTGGATAAAAGACCAGATATTTAAATGGACAACCCCAAGGCATTAATAAATGATTTTTTAAATGCACACCTAGACTGATAGTGATCTAGCTACATACAAGTGCTCACTCTTCCAGACATAGCCATAAATTAATTAAAAGAGAGAGATATAGAGATAGATAAACAAACAGACGGGCAATAATTGAAAACTCCAGTATGGCAGGCATTTAATAGCCTTGGTTTTACATAATTCTCAGAAGTCTATGATATAGAAATGACTTCTATTTTAAAGTTGAAGAAATGGAGATGCAGAGAAGTTAACTAACTTTGCCAAGGACATACAGCAATCTTAACACCTTGGGTAAATTTTTATTTTCCCACTAGCAAGACAGGTCTGTGGTTTCATTATAAATCTAAAGCCTTATGGAAAACAATGAACAACAAACTTGTAGGCTTAAGAAATATGTATCTGGGGTCGGAGTGATAGTACAGCGAATAAGATGCTTGCCTTGCATGCGGCTAACCTGAGTTCAACCTCCGCATCCCATATGTCCCCTGAGCATCGCCAAGAGTAATTCCTGAGTGCAGAGCGAGGAGTAACCCCTGAGAATCACCCAAAAACATATATATATATATATATATATATATATATATATTAGGATCTCATATGATTGTTAGTTTTTCTGGTTCCTTCAAGATTTAGAATAATTTAGCAGAATTTAGACCAGAGAGATAATACAGGTGTTAAGGCATTTGCCTTGCATGTGGTCAATCCCAGTTTGGTCCCCAGTACCAAATACCACAGAAGGTCAATTCTGAGCACAGAACCAGGAATAGCCTCTGAGCACTGCTGAGTGTGGCCCAAGTCCATGACCCAAATTTGGTAAAGTTTATTCGATGTGAACACTGATCCTGGGTTGAAGGAAGCCAACCACATTCCTGATTTCTGCTTCTCTTCTGTCTCCTCCAGCCCCTTAGTCATCCTGGCTACATTTCTACCTTATTTTTGATGCACTTAGAAAATGAGGCTCTTCACCTTTATCCACAATTCAGGACTGGAAATGCATAATGATTTTACTAAAGATGTGGAGACTAAAATGAACACTTTCTTCACATGGACTCTCCTGTCATCTCCTCTCTGCCTTGTCCCACTTCCAGTTCGCACCCTCTCTTGCTCCCATTTTCCCATTACTTCTCTTTTTTCCTCATGAGTAACAGACCTTCTCCTTCCACACTGGCTTCAATTGAATTGGGGGTGGTGTTGCAGCCTCAGGGGACAGGGGGCCAGATCCAGAGACATTTACAGTCATCACAACTTGGAAGCTTGTGCAATGCAGTTGGTTAAACTTGGCACATTTGCTCAAACCTATTGATCTGTTCTCCCTCCAAGCTCCTCTCCCTGTGCTCTGTATCTGTGCCCGTTCCGGGGACCTCCTTCCTCCATCCAACTCTCACTTGAGCCTGCATTTGTCTTCCAGGACGTTGACAATATCAGTTTCCTCAAAACCCTTCGGTATCCCCACCCCGCCCCCCATCTACAAAACCAGAAGTTCCAATTCCTCCAAATGAAATCCAGCCTTTCTTTGCTGCCTTAGTAGCCCGTGCCTTTGAAAACTCATCCACATCCAAGGCTAGATCCTCACTTTAACTGTGGGTCGCAGCCCCATGTGCCTTAAAATAAGTTTCTTGAGGCTTTCTTGTCAGTCAGTGTCTGATTGCTGTACCTCTTTTATGTGCCCAAGGACCCAGGGTTGCAGAAATGTTTTTTAGGCAAAAAGAGACATAAGTGGAAAACACTAAGAAGCCCTGATCTAGTCTACCTGCCTTTTTTTTTCTTTTTTGGTATGGGTCCACACCTGGGGGTGCTCAGGGCTTACCCTAGTTCTGCACCCAGGGATCATTCATGGCAGTAATCAGGAGCCATATGGGGTGTCGGGGATCAAACTCAGGTTGGTTGTGTGCAAAGTAAGTACTTTCCCTGCATTCCTACCTCTCTGATCCTCTAGGATCCCTTTATCTCCTCCTTCTCCTCTCTCAGGTTCTCCTCCATCTTCTACTTCTCACCACCTTTCTGCATCATCTCTGGATTCTTCCGAAACATCTACTCCTTCGTAGATCCTGGATCAATGTCTCCGCAACCCCCATAAGTGTTCCCTGATTGTCACATAAGTAGCACATGAAAGCTAGGACATAGTACAGTGATGTGATCATATTCCTAAAATGCACCAAACCCAGGTTCTCTTCCCACCACCATTTTGTATCCACACCCCACCCCAGCATCTGAGGGTGAAACTCTGGAAGCCCCTGAGCCCCATCAGTGTATCCCCAACACCTCAGGGCCCTTGCAGTACCACATTCTCAGGCTGTCACATTGAATGGATAGGCTGGTTGTCTGAGAATTACCTGCGGGCTTCACATATTTCCTGAACACCACTTGGGAGTTTCCATGCCCTGAGAAAGACTGAGCATTTCTTGAGACTGGATTCTGTGTCTGACTCTTCTGATCACCACTATCAGCCTGCACCATATTTTTAATGAGAAATGTTTGTTGATGGAAATTGAAAATTAGCCTATTAAAAGGAGTTCATGATTTCATAATAGTTTTAGATATGTTTTCTCATGTGATCCTCCACATCATCCTGTGAGATAAATTTCATTATCCTAAGATGGAGCCCAGGAATCTGGGGAATGGTGAGTAAGATAGAAAGGGAATGTCATTCCTTTAAGTTTTGTTGGAGCAAACAATGTGAAATAAATTTGTTCTGTGCATGCCAAAGGGGCAGGCTTGAGATTGCGAGAGTACCTGGAGATGTTGGTGGAAGGAAGGACATACTGGTGGTAAGATTCATGCTGGAACATTGTGTGTCTGAAACAACTCTATTATGAACAACTTTGTAAATCACCGAATGTTAATGAAAACAAACTTCAAGAGAAAGAAAGAGAATGCAAGGTGTGTGGAATATCAGGACCCGGGCCACTGTGCTCCAAGCCATCTGGCTTAGCTTCCCAGTGAGCTCATAAGGCCAGCAGTCCCAGAGGCAGTGAAGACACTGGGTTTCAGAGTGGTGCCATGATCTACCTGCAGTCACAGGCCGGTGAGGCTTAGATCTTGGGTGTATGAGCTGGTCTGCTTCAACGTAGAAGTATGGCTTTACCGCTATGGTTTGTCTGCACAGTTCCCAGGTAATAGGTCAGCTCCCACACCTGGTGCAAATACCTCTAAGTCCAGTCCTCTGCCCATTATGTCTCAGCTCAAAGTATGAATGTCGCAAGGATCAAAGGAAACCAACTGTAGTGCAGACAGTCAAGTGAAGGGAGAGATGAGTCCATATGGGGTCCAAAGAGGGAGGTCTGGGGGCTGGAACAATAGCACATCAATTAGGGCATTTGTTTTGCACGTGCTGACCCGGCTTCGATTCCCAGCATCCCATGTGGTTCCCTGAGTACCGCCAGGAGTGATTCCTGAGTGCAGAGCCAGGAGTAACCCCTGAGCATCACCGGTGTAACCCAAAAAGAAAATTTAAAAAGGGAGGTCAAATGGGGTGTTCCATATCTCTATAACTAAGTACCTGGATATGAGAGAGAGAGAGAAAGAGAGAGAGAGAGAGAGAGAGAGAGAGAGAGAGAGAGAGAGAGAGAGAGAGAGAGAGAGAGAGACTTGGGATGGTGGCGAGGCACTCACCAGCTTTCAGCCAAAGTGTGCTGAGATGAATGGGAAATGCCAAAACATGGTTAGCTTTGCATTTGTGGATTTCACCTTCATCAGAACATTCTGTTCTTAGAGATACATAGTTAAGAAAAGCCATAGCAGTGTAGAAAGTGAGACGGCCATCCATTTTGAGAACACATTGCTTGTCTCAGGGAAACACTTTGCATGTCTAGATTAGCCTGTGAGTTATGGCCCTTAGCGTAAAGTGTCCAGTGTTGGGTACTGGCAGGGCAGTCAGCACAAGGCAGCATCCAGCTCATGCTTCTGAACACTCAGAGGCTGGGTTCCACCTGTGCTGTGCCAGCCTACAGTGTGCTGGGTGCTGCTGGATGGACCAGAATCCTGCAAATAGAATGCACCTGCAGGAAAGATGTTTGACTGGGAAGGACCCAGCTATAGGGCATTATGTGCCAATAACTAGTTATGTCTCCTCCCCTGAGTTGCTTCATCTGCGAAATAATCAAATCAGATGAAAGGATGAAATCAACATGAATTTTCACATCAGGTGCTGACTGGAGTGCTGAGGGCAGGGGACACACCCAGCAGTTCTCAGGAATAATCACTCCTGCTAGTGGTCAGGGGACTGTTTGTGGTGCCAGGGATCAACCTGGCTGGACCTCAGGCAAGACAAGAGTCTTACTTAACCCCTGTGCTGTCTTTCCCAGCCCAGAGGCTCTTATAGTTAGACAGTACTTGCCCTCCACACAGCTCATATTGGCAAGTCCATCTCCTGCCTTAGCTTTGGCTTAAGCACTCATGAAGAGAGAGATGAGAGTATGCGGGGCAGCAGGGAAAGGTGAAGAAAATAGCAGTGGACATGGACTGTGAGAGTCCTAGGGGAAAT